CGGCGCTCTGCTCTCTCACCACCGCAACCGACGCCTCCGACCCCATCCTCCTACAAGTGGCCGTCGGCCACCACCAGTGCGACGCCATGATCGACACAGGCGCTTCACACTCATTCGTGGAACGACAATGGGCCACAACACACGGCCTCCAGCACCGCCCAACCAACGTCAACGTATCCACGGCCGACACATCAAACATCCTCATCACGGACATGGTCCAGGTCGACCTGCTAATCCACGACAAACCTTACCCCACCACCCTATGGGTCCTGCCACGCGCCGCGCATCCCGTCATCATGGGACGGGACCTCTTGGGACGCCTGCCCATCACCATTGGACTCGACGGCAACCGCCTCTACGTTGGGTACAGATTCCACGCCAAACGCCGCGCCACCCCAAGCATGACACCCGGCGAAGGCATCACGTTCATCGATGGGACATCCAACGAACGGGACAAAATCCGTCAAATTCTGGTACAACACCAGGATGCAGTGTTCCAGTGGTCGGGACGGCATGGCTGCCTCCCCGAATACACCGTCACCCTGGAGACAACGACCGCCGCCCCGCCTGCTTCACCGCCTTTTGGTACAGATTCCACGCCAAACGCCGCGCCACCCCAAGCATGACACCCGGCGAAGGCATCACGTTCATCGATGGGACGGCCAACGAACGGGACAAAATCCGTCAAATTCTGGTACAACACCAGGATGCAGTGTTCCAGTGGTCGGGACGGCATGGCTGCCTCCCCGAATACACCGTCACCCTGGAGACAACGACCGCCGCCCCGCCTGCTTCACCGCCTTTCCGACAGGCACCCGACAAGTTGGCTCCATTCAAGGAGATCATTGCCGACTACGTCGCCGCCGGGATCATCGAACCCGCAACGTCTCCATACAACTCACCGGCATTTCTCACACCTAAGAAATCCGGCCGCGCCGACGCACCTGCAACCAAAAGATGGCGACTCGTTGAGGACTACAGAAAAATCAACACGCTACTGGTTCCTGACAACTATCCAATGCCGATCATACAGGACCTGGTCAACGCGCTGGGACGCCGCAACGCCTACTTCTGCACCGTCGATCTCCACAACGCCTTCCACCATCTGCCAATTGTGCCACAGGATCGCCCCAAGACCGCATTCTCCACCCCTCAGGGGCAGATGCAGTACGCGGTTCTCCCTTTTGGACTACGAAATGGGCCAGCCCTGTTTCAGCGGGCCATCAATTCGATCCTGCGCCCGCACCTCCTCATGAAGTGCCTGGCATACATCGACGATATAATCGTCTTCGGGGAAACGTTTGCCTCTGTCTGCCAGAACCTACAGGACGTACTCACCGCACTGGACGATGCCGGCGCATCAATTGACATCAACAAGTCCACGTTCCTGGCTCGCCACATCGAGTTCCTAGGGTTGGTCATCGACCAAACGGGGGCCCGGCCGGCCCCCCACAACCTCGCCGCTGTCGAACAGTACCCGCAGCCCAACACCACGAAGGAGATGCAACGTTTCCTGGGCTTGGCCACGTACTTGCGGGCCCACATCCCCCTCAACTTCGCGACAGCAGAAAAAGTTCTGCGGAGCACCATCCCGGCCAAGCCGAGCACCACGCTGCGTTGGGATGCACCCGCCGACCAAGCTTTTCGGGACCTGAAACAAGCCATTGCGCAGGCAGCACGCCTGGAGCGCTACGACGAAGCACAACCCATCAAAGTCCATACGGATGCATCCGCCACCAGCCTAGGTGCGGTGCTGGTCCAGATCCATCCCGACAACGGGCCCGCCGTCATCCAGTATGCCAGCCAGGTGCCCACCGACGCGGAGACCCGGTACACAAACACGGAACGCGAACTCCTGGCCATGGTCTGGGCAGTGACGAAAAAATTCAGGGACTACCTGGAACATTCCGCATGATCACCGATCACCAGCCCCTCCTGGGCGAGCTCAAATCCTCCCGCCTGATACGCCTGCAGATGAAACTGGGCCAGTACCAGGGCGAGATGGAATACCGGCCCGGGGTACTACTCCAGGCACCCGACGCACTTAGCCGAGTCTCGATCCTGGCTGCGGACCTACGCACCACCGTCCACCCGGGCCAAACCCGCGAAGTTATCGAACAATACCACCAAGAGTTGGGTCATGCCAACTGGAAGAAGGTGCTACAAACGATACGCGCGCGCTTCACATGGCCGCACATGCGACACACAATCTGGAAGCAACTCGTGGATTGCCCGGAGTGCTTTACATACAACGACAGCTCCCAGATCACAAGGGAAAAGATGCAAGGCCTCCCAGGGGCCAAACCATTCGACCGCCTCTGCATCGATTTTTACGGGCCACTCCCCCGTTCTACCGACCGCCACAAGTATGCGTTGGTCGCAATCGACCAGTACTCGAAGTTCCTGACAGCCATCCCGGTGCTACGCGCCGACACCAGCACCGCCATCAGCGCGAAACACACCATCTTCCAGGACCTGGGAAAATTCCGCACGATTCACTCCGACAGGGCGGCAGTGTTCAAATCGCGAGCGTTTCGCCAATTCCTAACACAGGCCGACTGCGAGCATCAGCACATCGCCCAGGGTAACCACCCCGAAGGCAACGGCACATGCGAACGCGCCATACAAACCATCGGCCAAATCCAGGCCAAACTTGCGAAGGGCGACTCGAAAAATTGGGACCAATACTTACCAACAGCAGTGGCTGCATACAACCTCACGCCGCATACAACCACGGGCACAACGCCCAGCGAACTCTTCTGGGGCAAGCCTCCACGACTTCTCGCAGACGACCACTTTGGCGTCGACACCCCCGCGACGGTCGATCTCCCGGCCGTACAACAGCATCTCCAACGGCAGCAGGCACAGGCCCTCCGTCAGGCCAACCGCAGCAAACACCCGATTTTCCAGCCTGGGGACATGGTGGCGGTCCGACCACGTATGGCCTCCTCGGATATCCATGCTGCATCCCGACGTTTCCGCAAAAAGAGACTTGGACCCTTCATGATCATCCGGCGCCACATGCCCAGGCGATACGCGGTGGGCGTCGACGCAAGGATTGCCATCCTGCCAGCCTGGGAGCTCCAACCCTGGGCCCACGGGCCACGGGCACCTCAGCCCGGATACGACAAACACTTGACATACCTGCGCGCAATGCCGCCCCAGCCACCACCGGACGTCAGGACGGAACACCACTACACGCGCAGCAGCCACAACGCAGTGACGACGGCAGCGGTCTGCAAACACCTTTATTGCACGGCCGCCCGCAACCGCACACGGGGGCCATGCCTACTATCAGGGGCCACTGACCCCGCGGCCACGACCCCGGGCCCAACAGCCCAATCGAGCGACAGACACTTGGCAACAAGCGTCTCTTCGGGGGGGGGGAGAGTGAGAGATACCAATCTCGAACACAACTTTATCACGCTATCTCTCCGGCAGATCTACAAGGACGCGACCCTAACGCCAACTGGGAATGACCCCGCCGCCGAAAAAGACAACGAAACCTAACGGAACCGAGGTCACACACATGGACACATAAGGACGACCCCAAACGGAAGACTTCACTTCAGTCCAAACTTCTGCACCGACCACGTCTCCTTGCTGCTCCGTGTATCTTGTGTCTTGTGCATATAAACCCTTCTGTGTCCTCGTCAGAACCGACCGCCTATGACAAGAAAATATACTCTGCCCTTTTACGTGTACATCATCTACACTTTCTGCACACTTACTACTTGATGGATTGGATTGGAGAACGTGTCGAAGTTTCGCTATTTTCTCTGCCAGGCTTCGTTGAATGTGTTCCCGGGTCGATTATAAGTGTCTGGTGAGATCAAACGGTGATAATTAGTCGGGAAAAGCAGGAGTGTGGACCAAAAGTACTCCGTGGCCTCGTTCGGAGCTGGTATATCTCCTGAACGATTGCATTTAATGACTTGAAATTTAATCGCAGCTCGACATTCTCCCCTGAAATTGTATTGGATTATGAGACGTACCTTTGTGCATTTGTTTTCGCAGATTTGGTGTTTAAATTTTAATTGTTACCTTTGAGTGAATGAATCTGTGCATTTGCTCCACTAGATGTTTCTGCCGGTTGTTGCATTCTTGAGTCGGTGATTTTGTAAGGTTCTTGAACACGAACGATGACGCGAAATGAACATGTGGTGACGAAATCCCAAAGAGATGACAAGTTTTGGAGTTCGTGGTGTGAATGTGGATCGAAGAAGATACTTTTCTTATTTTCTATGCTTGGACTTCGCTGGATGATTGCTTGTCATCCGCATTCGGGTCAGAATGCTCCTCCCATGTACGGAGATTTTGAGGCCCAACGTCATTGGATGGAAGTCACGTATAACTTGCCAATATCAGATTGGTATCAGAACACAAGCAAGAATGATTTGGGTTATTGGGGGTTAGATTATCCTCCCTTGACGGCTTATCACAGCTGGGTCCTCGGGCTAGTAGCAAACACAACTGCAAAAGAAATCGTGCAATTAGGTGTTCGAGGACCGGAAACTTTTGCGGTGAAGATATTCATGAGAGCAACTGTTTTGGCCACTGACTTAGCTGTTCTCTTCCCTGCAACATGCGCATATTTCGGCAGTTTTTCGTTACTAATCCTTGCCCTGGCTGCCCCTGCACTGATTTTAATTGACCATGGGCATTTTCAATTCAATGGAGCGTCACTGGGGCTCGCTTTGTTGGCGTTCAGTTCAATGAAGCGTGATAGAATGATCCCTGCCGCGATCTGGTTTTCTCTAGCGTTGAACTTCAAGCAGATGGAGCTTTATCATTCCCTACCTGTATTTTTCTACATGTTGGCATGGTCATTCCATCGAGGACGAGGATTATTCAGTGTTTCCAAGATCGGTTTATTTGTTGCTCTTGTTTTCGGTTTAATGTTGATGCCGTGGATCGTTCTGGGGACACAAAGCCTCGTCGCTGTCATGAGGCGATTGTTTCCGTTTAACCGTGGACTTTATGAAAGTAAAGTCGCAAATTTTTGGTGCACGATTAATGTGCTTTACAAAGTAAATACTTCGGAAATGCGAAGTGTTATGGTGCCTTTGTGCTTAGTAACAACTCTAGCAGTTGCTTTACCGAGTTGCGTGCATCTTTTCGTGAAGCCCGTTTTTCGTAACTTCAAATTAACCTTGTTCATCGTGTCCCTTTCATTTTTCCTTTTTTCGTATCATGTTCACGAGAAAAGTATTTTGTTGGCCGTTTTGCCTTCCTTGATGCTGTTAGACGATTATCCGTCAGTTTGCGTCTTTTTTCTTTTTATGTCGGCATCCAGCATGTTTCCATTATTTGTATTGGATGAGTTGCTGTGGGCATATTTTGGAATAACGTTGATATTCTCTGCTCTTCTCTATTTCTTGCGCATTCGGTTGAGAATGTTCATGTGGGTGGTTTTTGTGAGCGGGCAGTTTTTGAATTTGGCCAGTTTGTTCATACCTCCTCCGGAAAAGTTGCCGGATTTGTTTGCTGTTGTGATTTCCGCGTATTCTTTCACGACATTTTCAGCAGTGTTAGTTTACTTTTATTATGAGCAGTTTTTCGGTGACCAATTTCCGGTTGATTCGCGTCGTGTGAAAACTTCGAGTGACGAGGAAACTAAGAAGATTAAATGAATCATACCGGAGCTCAATTCGAGTCTTATTAATTTTTTTGAAATTTATACATATGTCTGATGCGATTGCGAATGTGATGTGAAACTCACATACATTACATTCAATCGAAATCTGCTGATTCCTTTGATCCCACTTATGCAGCAGTTACCAGCTGGATCTTTTGTAAATGATTCCTATAAATTCTGGGGACCCAACTTTCGTCCTTTTGAGTTGAAAGTGGTTTTGAAAATCGAAATTTTTATTTTACCTGGGAATTTCAAACGAAATTTAATGCGAGACACTTATTTTTTCAACTTCTGTGCATGTAGGATTCAAACAAATGATTACCGTATTTCCGCTAGAAGTTGTGAGGCATTGTCAATGTTTGGATTTTTTTTCTTTCTTTACGGCTACTTCTGTTATTTGCGTGTAGAAAATTGTATACAGTACTTCTCTCGATTCCACATTGTCCTCGAATCATTTTTCGCCGTGTGCTCTTTATTAGAATCAAATGAGCGTAATAAGTATTTTTCTATTTTTAAAAGGAATTTTGAAGTTCAACGTCGCATGAAGGCGAATTGTTCCTAACTTCCTATGAGTCAGCATATTCTTGGAGCGTATAGATTCTTTGCTGGTGCATAAATTTCTCAAAATCACCCCCCACTGTAACTTGCAATCTCACGACGCTGTGAGAAGGTGGTGCATCAGTTATGATTCAGTCGCTTTCAGGTTAAAGTTGTTCTCGCCGGATCAGAAATCATACCGTCTCTGTTGTTGAGCTTTTTCTTTGCAGAATGTCGGCGTACGAATTCCGATGCCCTCGAAAAGTAATACTTTTTGGGGAACACTCCGTGGTGCACGGAAAACTCGCCATTGCTGTGGCATTTGGAATGAACATGGAAGTGATCCTAGAGATTGATCCATCGAAACCGGACAGCTTGGAACTCATTTCAACTTCAACAGCTTTATGGACATCGGAGCTTCAGCAATTCGGCGAGAGGACCCAGGAAATGGCGCTTTCGGATCCCAGGAAGCCTGCTTGTCCAAGCAACGAACTGGTTGCATTTCTCCGCGAGTTCACGGATAATGACAAGTCTAACCTTTCCAATACGATGACGACTAGGATTGTGCTGTTGTATCTGTGGAGTCAAATAATTTATCCTTCAAGAACAGTAAGCTTGAATTTATTTGAGCGCTGTCAAACGAAGCAGTTAGTTCTACGCTTCCTCAATTGCATTTTATCAGTTCAGTTCAGTAGCATATTTACGTAACTGCAGCTGGTATGAGATTTGCTTTGAAAATTATATTTTCGATGACTTCCGATTGAATATTGTATTTAATTTGAATAGTTTGGGAGTGTGCTGCATGATTCTGAAAATGCATCAGATCATACAAGTGATGTACGGTAATTCTTATTCATAATTTTGGAAAGTTCGTGTGCGTATGGGTCCTACAGATTTACCGGATGACGCAGTGTTTTTTATGTTCATGTTCGCTAGCAGCTTTAAAATAATTTAAGGGGTTTGTCTTTTAAAAGAAACGCTGCAGATTGAGCAGAGGAATTGTATTGGCGTAAAGTACGTGATTGTGTTTTTTGTTTTTTCAGAGAGGAGCAATCAAAATCTCGCTCAAGTACGACGTAATTTGGCCAGGCCTCGGAAACTCAGCAGCATATTCAGTACTGGTCTCAGCAGCCTTGCTGACAGCCGCTGGTCTCATCAGCTCCTCCTTAACCGAGGATGACAAGGATCTAATCAATGGCTGGGCCTATGGTGCAGAGTGTATCAACCATGGTTCACCCTCTGGAGTGGATAACACTGTGTGTTGTTATGGCGGGATGCTGAGATTCGCCAAGGGAAAACTGCCTGTGAAGGAATTTCGGTCTCCGGGAATCCGATTGTGTGTGGTTTTCTCGAACCAAGTGCGATCGACCAAGGTTTTAGCGGAACGGGTTGGCGGGCTGAAGCGGCATCACGTGAAGGTGTTTGACGCGATTTTTGAGGCCATGCATACTGTTGCTTTGGAAGGCAGTGATTTTATTGATGGCGTACTCAAGGATCCGAGCGATCTGGTCAACTTTAGGCGACTCGAGGTATGCAAGATTTCAGAGAAGGGTTTCTTGGTGGAAAATTCCCAATTCAAAAGATGTGCAATTCTCTTAATCCTGTTGTGACGTAGCAACACCTTCGGTTAATGCACTTCTTCCAAAAGTCGTACGTGTGTTCTTCACTGTAGAATTATTTTTTCTACTCCCTAGATGTCGCTGGTGGGAAAATTTTTATTTTTAAAATTGCGTGACGGATATACTGTACAGTATACATATTTATTTGCTTTGATCAACACTAATTTCCTCTCGACGTATTCCTATATTATGTCGATGCACCCCTGTATGTAATTCTGTATGTATGAAGATGTTGACATTGTTTGACCCTCTGAAAAACATGAGACTACGGAACAATAACTTCGTCATTTCATGAAATTAAAATATATGAGAAAACTCTGACCGGAAAATTTCAGGGTTCCACGGTATTGTCTAACATTAATTATTTTTTGTGGCTTCAGTTGGACTCTTTCAACGATGAAATTCAGGGGACCAGTAAAAAATTGCTGTAGAGAACCCCTTCAACGGATTAAAGAAAAAAATTAGAGAATATCCTTGTAGAGAGAGTTCACCTGTAGTAAATACGGTATTTTTGTTTGCTAAGCGTGTCCAATGTTGATTGATTTGTCCTTTTCTTTCAGGAGCTCGTCGACATAAACCAGGCATTACTCAAGTCACTGACAGTTTCAACCAAGAACCTCGACAAAATATGCAGCATTGCGGAAGCTCACGGCTTTCATGCAAAATTAACTGGTGCCGGAGGAGGTGGATGTGCGTTCGTCATTATTCCACCGGATGCGAATGAAATTGTCGTTGAAAATTTCAAAGCGGAACTAGAATGCTTCGGCTTCCCGTTCAGAGAAGCCGACGTGGGTGTGCGAGGGTTAACGGTCCAGCGGCTGTCTGGAAAGCTTGAGTGAAATATTACTGTTGAATTGTACTGGTTTTATTTTGTGGCGAAGGGGGTGAAGAGGTGCGGTTTTCTTATACTGTACTCTGAACAAATTGTGGAGACCAGCATTTTGCGGTGATGGTGATTTGTGGCAGTGATTTGGCATTTTCGCGATTTTAGACGCGGTCCACGAATAAATGTCATATTTATTCCTGAATCATTTCCCCGAAAATAAACCCTTGCACCGTTTACTGTATTGGGCTGAACGGTTGCAATTGAAACGGAGTTTTTACTCAAAAATAAGACCCGGTCGAGATGATTTTTTCAAATGCAGAAGTGCATGTTTGTTCAAAAAATTTAATCATCTCTGTACTAGTGCAGTCTTGAACCTGGAAATAATTTCCTTCTAAACCAAGTGAACTTTTCCGTGGAAAGCAAAGGAAATAAGCAGCATTCACTAGATGTATTTACTAGTTTTATTGGGCTCTGGCATTTATTGTGTAAAATATTGTGTTTGCCTTGTGAAAAAAAATAGAAAAAATCCCCTTACCAGGTCTTATTATGTTGAGGTATCTTCGTGATACGTAGCGTAGTTAAAAGAAGAAGGATGTTGTTTTGATTCGTGTGTTTCATTTTGAAGGAATTTTCGAGAATCGGCTCAGAGTCACGAATTATTCAAGGCTTTCAGTTTCTGGTCCAGGAAGTGTATTTTGCGAGGATCCTAAATTTGCTTTTTATGTCGCGTAGAGTCGTGGTAACCGGTGTGGGCGTTATTACCCCTCTCGGCAAAGGAGTTCCAATTTTCTGGAAGAAATTGATCGGTGGAACATCAGGAACTGTTTCCTGGATTGATGAATCTGATTCGATTCCGTGTCGCGTCGCAGCCCGTGTTCCCAGAGACGATCTTCCGAAGCCCGATCGTGGGAAGACTCTTGCGACGCAATTCGGCCTCTGCGCCGCAGAAGAAGCGATTATTGTGGCCCGATTGAACGACCAGCGTGTGGATAAACGCAATGTTGGGGTTTCGTTTGGGACCGGAATGTCGGATCTGTCAGTGATCGAAGCCTGTTTTGACGCTTTTAAAGTAAAGAAGTATCGCGGCGTGTCGCCGCACTTTGTTCCCCTGATTTTACCCAACATGATTGCTGGGCATGTTTCTATGGAGTTCGGCTTTCGTGGGCCGAACCACTGCGTTTGTACGGCTTGTGCTGCAGGAGCACATTCGCTCGGAGATGCCTTCAGGTTTGTTCCTGCTTCATTTATCCCGCCCTTGTCAGGACTGTTCAACCTGTGGTTCCTGGTCACGGACATGAGTTTTCAGAATAGGAATTACGACGAAAGAAAGAAGCACACACTTCAAAGAAAACTCTCATCAGTTTTTAAGAAACATTGAGTTCAACAGATTGAGCAATTCTCTTGACTTAAATTCCTATCGATGGTGATGGTTTTGTTTTTATGTCCATTGTACAATTTTCCAAGGGTTGTAAGTTTATCGCAGGCAAGGAGCGATGCTTCATCGAATTTTGATCTCTTTTTTCACAACGGGAGGATTTTGGGAGTGCAAGAATTAAATTGATCGAACAGACGATTTAGACCGTGGTATATTTTGGTCCAATTTCAAATGCCTTGCTTAATGAAATTTACTATCTCTTCAATGATGAAAAATATCCTGCATTAGTTTACGACATGCTTCAAGTTATTTCATCTGCACAAATGCTCACAGCCACCGCATCCAAAAAATTATGCTGCAATTTTTCTCCTTTTGGTTTGAAAAAAAAAAAGTTCCTGTCGATTGTTGCGTTAAAATTTCTGCGTTTTCAGTCCGTTCGTTGTTACTCCACAGCAACGTTTAATGTGCATTCCTATACTGTATTAATAACTATATTACGAAGTATGAATGTGAGATTGATGTTCGAAATTTTGTAAAAGGTTTGTCAAGTATGGAGACGCTGATGTCATGGTGAGCGGAAGTGCTGAGGCACCTATATCGAAAATAGCAATGGCTGGATTCTCGCGTGTCCGAGCTTTATCCACGAAATACAACCAAGAACCGAGTAAGGCCTCTCGCCCTTTTGATGAAGGTCGAGATGGCTTTGTGATGGGTGAAGGAGCTGGTTAGTTGCTGAATATTTGTGACGCATTTTCGTGTACAGTACCGTATACGAGGGGTTACACGTTTCCACGCGGACTCGTTTTGGCACAGACTTGAAATGATCTGAACACAGTAATTTTTTTGGGCGGAAAAATTCTGATGTTTACTAGTACCAAGAGGCTAGTCAGACACCTTTTCAATGTAATCATTACCTATTAGTACAGTACAGACTTCTCAGCCGTTTTGATCAGTTTGTTGAAACAAGCTCTGGAGTGTTAAATTGTGAAGATCCCCTAGAATAACAGTATCGAACAAGCGGATCCGCACGGTTCCGCGCGGATCGGAACCGTGCGAATACAGTTCTGTATTTAATTTTTCCCGCAGCGTGTATTAGAGATGGGTGATTATTTCCAACAGTTGTTACTCTGAAGCAAGATGGGGAAACACCAGGCGAAAGTAAGAAAAAAACTTGGATTCACCGCTGATTTCTGGAAATGAATGCATCAGAAAAGGCTAACATGAAAGAATGTCTGTGATAGTGCTGGGAAGGCATATTAGTTGGGTCAACAAATAAATTTCTCGAAATTACTTTTAATTCGATTATTTTAAAAAGTGTGTAACTTTCTTTGCAGGAGTGATGGTGTTGGAGGAGCTGAACCACGCGAAGAACCGAGGAGCTGAGATTCTGGGTGAGATCTTGGGCTATGGAATGTCGGCGGATGCAAACCACTTGACCGCCCCACGAGAAGATGGTGAAGGCGTGATGGCATGCATGCGAAAAGCCGTGTCAGAAGCCAAACTGCCACTGGAAGCTATTGGCTACATCAACGCTCATGCCACGTCCACTCCGTTGGGTGACGTGGCAGAATTATCTGCGATCAAGGCTCTGTTTGGTGGTCCGCACTCTCAATCCCTGGCCGTATCGTCCATTAAGGGTGCGATTGGACATTTGCTGGGTGCAGCCGGGATGGTAGAGGCCATAGCTGCTTTATTGGCGTGCCAAACCGGTGTTTTGCCGCCGACCATCAACCTGACATCGCCGTGTGACGGTGAGCTGAACTTGGTGCCGAATGAAGCGCAGAAATGGGATAGTGTGTTTGAAGATGACGCGGGGAGGAAGAGACGGATCGCATTGACGAATTCTTTCGGCTTCGGGGGCACGAATGCGTCGATAGTGTTGTCGTCTTTCGTGGAGTGATGATGATGAGATTTTGTAGACGTCGGTGAGTAAAACTTTAATAAACGTGTACTACCATGCTTAAGGAATCGTTCTTCTTTATTGAAAATCCAATCTCGGCAATTCTAATCGAAAAGCTTTTTTCTTCGTGTCGTAATGTGAATGTAAGTGTAATCCTATGTAAGGTGTGACCTGCCATTTTTATTATCCAGAATGAAAATGATGGCCTAAATGTTCTCTATATTCAGGTTACACTTGTTAATGTGATATACTGTATTGTACGTTGTACAGCACCACAAAATCAGCCGAGGGTACGATAGATCCCCGCGAATAACTAAATGACTTGGATAGAATAATCTTGAAAATTTCTCGAATTGAAAAAAATGACTTAGTCCGTATTCTTCACCTAACCAAAATTAATCTTCATTCGAATAATAAAACCTGTATTTTTAAACTTGATATTGTTTGCTTCGTGTTGCAAAATGTTCCCATATTATTCATCCGTCAGGTACAAATCATTTTTATTGCATTTACGGATCATCGTAAATATGTTTTCAGACTTTATTATGCCTCTGCTGGAGTCTAGGATATACAGTATTTGACACTTCTACTTGCATTTTTAGGCAAAAAATTTGTGAACTGAAATTTTTTAAATACGACGAGATGTGAACAGTGCGGTATTTCTGTGTGTTGAACGCCTTCGGGAAGTTTTAGAGAACACTCAAATATCAATCTTGCTTCACAAATCTTCCCTCTTTTCTTAAAAAACTTGAAATGTATAAGCACGCGTTGTAATCTTCTGAATTTAAGAAGTAATTTATGCTACAGTATTTGTCAGATTAAAAGAGGGAAAGAGATGAAATGAAATTCGTCCAATCAATCTTACTCGGGTCTCGGGATATTGTGTCACGTGTCATAAAATTATCGAAATGTGTGCCGTTGTATTTCCGCAATATATCTGACAACATGCATTCAGATATTCGGACCGCTTTTCGGCAATAATAATTTATCAAATATTGACAATATTAAAAAGAGTATATTCGGATGAAAGTCAAGATCAGAGAATGCTCTTTAGTCTTCCGGTCTTGGCATGCGTTTGTACTCCGTTCTTGAAAGCAGGTACCATGTGGAACAGGCTAGAAAGATGATGGTCAAAGCAAGTGTGCCCACCAGCTCTCCTTCTCCATTTTCACCTTTATTGCAATTACTGTGAAAGAGGGAAAAATATATCAGTTTTAAAAACACATTACCCAGTGAGAAACCATCCCCTTGGAAATTCTACTAGGAGGAATTCCCTTTCCACAAAGGTTTCAGAAATGTACTTCCTTTTCGTATTTTGTTTGAATGTGACTGAAACGTGACGTTCACTAACGAAGGGGGTGTAGCTCAGTGGTAGAGCGCTCGCTTTGCATGTGAGAAGCCCCGGGTTCAATCCCCGGCACCTCCAAAATCTTTTTCTCCTTGCAATTGCTTCCAATGGAAACGCCTTATACAGTACTGTACAGTACTTCTGAAACTGCGATTTTTCTCTTTACTTTGAAAAATGAAACAATTGGTCATATCCCTTTTATGTATTGGAAGCATTAGAGGTGTATTATTTTTTTGAGAGAAAGAGGAAAGAGACCAAAAAACTAATCAAATTTTTTAACATATTGGTTGATCACTTGATCAGTGACGATTGCCATCTTGATTGAGCTTAGGAAGCACCATGCATTGACAAAATAAAATTCAACAAACACTGTAAATGCATAAGCGAAAAAGAATCGAGAAATTTTGGGCAGGTGCCTAAGGTACAGGTTTGGTAATGGATGGAGATCTATGATCAGAGCTGACCAAAGTCACAAAGAAACAGACACAGAATTGAGATGAGTACTCACAAGTACCAGCAGGCATATTCCATCAGACCAGTTAATGCTGTAGCCGCACAGAGGAAAACCAAAGCAGTGCCTGCAAAAACATGTTGAGGAAGCCAAGTTGCTCTTACTTTCCCTGGTGTCCATGGAAGCAGAAATGCTGCAAATCCAAGCAACCACTGCAAAAAAAGAAAGAAATTCATTGTCAAAATTTCTGAAGCTTCATAAATTCCCTAAAACACAACATTATTTTTTCTCCCATGCGCAGGCTCACACAAGTTTTTTATTCAGGGGATCTACAATTTTACTGGGAAAATGCTCTGCAATAAAATAACCAGGGATATCTCCTTGAAGTATTTTGAATGAAACATATGAGTCTAACTTCAAACCACTGACTTTGGTTTGTCCATCATCATTGCAACATTAAAATTACCACTTCTGAGCAAACGATTTCATACGCTTTTAAAAAGATAAATGGGTTTTCAAGTTGAAATATTTCTAAATTTTAAATGACCTCCAGTTTTCGAATTAATACTTCAGTGTGGTTTTTTTTTCAGCTGACAACTTTTCTTGCGCAGGAACTACAAGAGTTAGGAATGTTTTACATTTTGTTTCCACACTGTGTACATACTGCCAACCTGACAGAAATCTAAAAAATTCATCGCAGATAAAAGCAGTAAAAAGGGATGAGTTTCTATTCACAATTTTACAGTATGTAAATTTTAATCAGTCATTTACCCAGTTTTAAATTTCTGAACTTTCTTGCGGAACTCTGATCTTTAAAATGATTTGGGCTGTAGTTTATATTCAGGCCTGGGTGCATAAGACAGTGTCAGTGTGAGAATATTACGAACGTAGCCTTTGATTTTAAATGGAGAAAAAAAAAATCGGTTGACTCGTAAACCCCAAAGCAAGGAGTTACGACGTGGCAAATAAAAATGTCATGTTGCACATGATTTGCATCTCAATGAAATTGTGAATGATATGAAGCATCAATAAGTCGTTCCAAATCTATTATGGCCGCACAGTCGCAATGAAGAAAAAAAAAGGTGAATTGCAGCATCATTAGCATTCAGGTGGAGTACAGTACTGTACTCATGTTGAATTGTTGACGAACAAGGTCCTCTTTCTATATAGTTTATGGCGGTACCCAACCAAAAGCCCCCCCTGCCAAAAGCCCCCCCTAGGTTCAAAAATTGGGGATTACAGGTATTCTTGTAACCCTTGATGGTAAGCTGCACCTTTCACCAGCAGGCCCAGCACAAGGCCAAGTACCAATTAAAGAATCACTGATGACCACTGCAGGTGAGGAATCCCTTTATATACTCAACTTACAAACATATTGGTACTTGGCCTTGTGCTGGGCCTGCTGGTGAAAGGTGCAGCTTACCATCAAGGGTTACAAGAATACCTGTAATCCCCAATTTTTGAACCTATGGGGGGCTTTTGGACTACACCCGTTCATGGCAGTGTACAGTTTATATTTATATGCAGTGTACAGTACTGAATATTAAAATGCTGATTGCTGAAATCTGAACTTGATTTGCCGGAATCATTGTACCCAGGATACAATTTTATTTTATTTCTCTGAGGTGTCCATTTTGTCTTTAACAGGATTGGAGTTTATTTACTGCAATAAAAATTTTATTCTACAGGTTTTCAGTTTTTAAATCTTAGGCAGACTCACAAAGCGTGAACAATTGGTGCTTAGAGAGTCAGAGAACAAAAGCATTTGTAAACAGTGGGGTATTAGCTTACAAACTTGATGGGTTCCTGAACAAAGTTTGTTAGCCAAACAGTTTGTAAGCCAAATCACATTTTCCCTTAAGAGAGTATAGGAATAAGTTTAATTGGTTCCAGAGCCTTGAAAATGCCCATGAAATTCAAGAAAATGCATTCTAAAAGATATTTTCAGACCTAAAATCCATTAAATCTTTCCAAGACAATATACAAGAAACTCAGTGCAGTAAAACAATCCTTAGAAGTGAAATTTTGAAGTGAGTTTCTCCAGAGGTTTCTTCTTGAAAATTTTAAATGCAACACCACAAACTTATTCACGCACCAAGGACTTGGGATGGACAATTTTAATGCTTAAATAAAGATGTTGAATTTTAACGCTATTAGAAGGAATAAAAAATTGGTGATCAAGGATTCGTCAATAAACTTTTGAGACATTCTTAGATGAATTAATGCATAAGTTTAAGCACGAATCCCTAGATTTTGGGAAATAATTTTTTTTAGACCCATGAGCTTTTGGAGAACTCAAAGTTTGTAAGCCAGCAAGTCATGGTTTTTTACCCAGAGCAGCTGAGGCCAAAAACAAAAGTTTGTTGACTGAAAAGTTTGGCATTTGTAAGCTGAGACCCCAGTGTATAGTTAAATGACTATTTTTCTTTCAATTTTCTTGGCTTATATATGAAGTAACATTATTGACAAAACCTTGATTTGTATATTTTGTTTGTATCTACGAAATGCAATCATTTGAATGATCAAATGTATTGGTGATATTTGCTTAATTGCACCATGTTCTCATTATGCTTAAGGAGTTTTTATAAAAATAAAATAAAAACATCATTGGGGTATTTTTTCTGTAAACTTTAACTATGTCAAAGAAGATGAAATACAGTACTGTACTTCTCTACCTCAGTACAGCATTGAAACCTCAATTTAACGTACAATAACATGCACATAATTTACACAAAAATCTGCTTTGTGTTGAATATTCCTCGAGTTATATAATTCTGCAATCGCTGGATGTACAGTACTTATTCATGACGCGATTCTTTCTACTTCGCCAAAGAAAACTATCGCCAGAAATAAATAAGTACAGTATAATAATTTGAAAGGGTGTCACGAGAAATTATTTCAATGGAAAATTTTGAGAAAAATGAAGAATATATAGCAAGTACAGGTACTGCGCCAACTTCATTTGATCCGCACAAAAGGTTCAGACAAAATTGGGTTTTGGACTTTGTTATGACGACCTTTGCCTCATGAGTCATGGCTCAATTTAAGCAATGGCCTTTTGACACCGAGTAATGTCAGGAGCACCCTGTGTTAAAAAAAAATGTTATGATCTGAAAAAAAAACTTCTGGAAGCAGAAAATGATCATAGGTAACGGTTAACTTCGTTTTGGGGTGATGTCAAATGGAAGAGTAATTTTGTTACTTGAGTTTACTAGGAAAAAAATCCTATCATCAAACCTTTTTTTTTAATAATGTTTCATTATATATAAATTTTGAAAAGGTCTCGCGTGAGAAACACCGTATAGACAATATAATCAAAAAATCTTACTGTGATGCCTTTTCAAAATTATTCAGTGGTTTCCCGATTACTGTATTACCTTTTCAATTGTCATACTTGATGATTTTTTCCTGCAATTTCTTCCTGCTTTGAAGAGGAGAATTCTAAATCAAAGTTCACTACTTCAAAAAGCGCCAAAAATTACTTGAAATAAAATTATACATAATTTCAATAATGATGCAGGATCTGTTTTTCCTATGCAAAATTTTTGATCGGGGAAAGTGTTGCTATTGATAAGCAAACGTTTTGCATAATTTTGCCGGGAAGCTTCGCTAATTATTAAATTTTTTTGCTGTTGTGATACGGTGAAAGAAGGAATATATGAAGAAATGCATCTTTGGTTCCAGAAAAATCCGAAATTTCGTACGCATTTTCAACTGTAATTAATATTTGAGATCCCTCAAAGATCTTTGTCACAATAATATATTTTACCTGTACATCAGTATATTCAACTTTAAGAACCTGAATCAATTTTAATTAGAGCTCATTCAGAACGTTTTTTTTTAAGGCATGACATTTTGGAAGAAATGCCCGAGGGTTTCAGAATGTTATCCGTCAAGTTCTTTGAACATCTAAAAAAAAAATCTTTTTCCACCTCATCGACTGACTAAACGAGTTTAATTTCCAATGTAACCCAGATCAGTTAAAGAGTTCGGAAAATGCCCTAGATTTCAATCTATTCGCAGTTATATTCAAGTCACATATCAAGAGCTGAATAAGTGAGAAAGAAAAAAATTTTCGAAACCTAGAAAAACAATGGTTCATAGAAAAAAACAGGAGAATAATGTTGCGCGTGAGACAAACACGAATGCGGAACAAATTGCAGGTTTTTTTTGTGTGTGTGTGTGTGTGTTTCTTATTTTTCTTTTCCCAATTGACACGCATATACACGACTGCAAGTGTATATATATAAAGTATTGCAACCGAGACCAGATGCAAGTGTAAGGGAAAAATGCCACAAGCAATTTACTACACCCTTGCTGTCATTCATTTGCATTCTTGGTAAGGTTTTCGTGTATTTATTTCTATTCGCCTTTCTTTCTTTTTTTATTTTATTCCTCGTACGCGTCGCCTGAGGCATTTGGTTCAACCTTTCGTATTTACTGGAATTTAATTGCTCTGATGTGAGATCTGAGTTCATGTGTGATTAAAAGTTTCTGTGACGAGGAGTGAAGAAAAAAATCTGAAATCTGTTGCGAAAAATAAATGGCTGTAGTCAATTTGCAATCAGAGAACCCAAATTCTCGAGAAAATCTTCTACAATTATCTTTGTGAGAATCGAGGAAGACCTTGGTTCTCACGTTTCTTTCAAGGCTTTTTACTGCTAAAATCCAGTTGCTGTTTTTTTTCCTTGGAGGACAGTTTTCCTGTTTTCCAAATCTGCATGAAAACTTCATTTCTGCTCAAGCTTTCGTGTGTGACACTCAAGGAATTTTTGCAAATATCTGTGTTCATTTTTGAAGTACAACTTTAAAATAGGGTGAAATTTCACCCCGGTTTTAGCCCAATCATCCGTCGTTTTATTTATATTCTTTAAAATCAAAACATCTAAATCTCAACTCAACTTCTAAAAATCGATCTTGTCTAAATTCATTCCCGACATAATCAGCTGGAAAAAATTTTTGGGGGATTTTTATACTGCTGTTCGTTATAAAGAGGTTTTTACTCATCAAAGGGAATTTCTTCTCGTGCCCTTTTTTGCTCGGATATACTCAGCAGTGAAGCAATCGTCGAAAACTTTTTTTTATATTCAATACAGTATTCGATTTTTTTTTGCAGGGAAACAAAAGAAAGTCTGGATGGATTTTAACTGTCTCAGTAAATAATGGACTCCGAGATGTCCCGGGAATTTTAATGCACGAGCCCAGATATGAG